AAAAAAAAATGCGATTTAATTTCGTTTTCGAAACGAGCTTTTTGAGCTTTCTTCTTTTGTTTAAGCCTGTTCAAAGTAGCTTTTACATTATTATCGCAGAAAACTTTTAATGTGCGAACAGTTTCGTTAATAGCGAAAAAAGCTTTTTGAGCATTCATTGTATTTAAGTCTGTTCAAAATAGCTTTTATGTTAAAGGCACTGCAATAATATTTTTTTTATTCCACAAGTTTGGCTTCTCTTTAAGCATGTAGAAAAAATCTAAAATTTACTGCAGCAGATTTAGAGAAATAATTCTCTGAAGAGTATTTTATATAAGTTGCTCTCAGCTGTTAATGACTGAAGCCTAGCACAAGCAACATTTAATGATGTTTGGTTACATTTCTTAAGATCAGGAAAATGGTTTTGAAAAGCACTTCGTACTTAAAATATTCACTTTTGTGTTTGCAGTTACTTAAAATATTGCTTTCAGCCAAAAATGGTATTAAATCGCGAAAAATTTGATGTTATGGTGTATTGAATCGAGGTCGTAGATCGGAAACGAGTTTCGTGCAGTTCATTCAAAATCAGTTGCTGTTCCGGAAACTATCGATGCTGCGGCCAAACTGGTAAAGAGCGTGAGATTGAGGCAACTAGAGGCATTACTGGGACCAGTATATAATATAGTCAATATTGCATGAATATTTGATTTTAGAAAATTTCACGATGATAAGAGGATGCAAGCGATAAAAACTTTGTAAATTCGTCGAATTTTTGTTTGATTTGAAACAAATTCATTTAAAAAATCCACCTTTCATGTTCATTTTCGAAACAAGCGACAAATGATTTTTGAATGCGAAAGCACATAAATGCGACTTAAAAAAGTTCCCACGTGGGATTGCAACTGCCCTTGGTCCTTGCTATTACAGACACCTATAATTCCCAACACAAGCAGCATGCGACAGAAAATGAATTATCAACTGTGGCGTTTTCAATATAGAGCATACAACTGGCAACGGAAAACCAAACACACACCAACATAATATACACGTATGTATATACATATTCTTATGAATGCATATATATGTATGTACATATGTAGTATGTATTTATTGATGTGCGCAATAAAGCGCATTCGGTCAGTTGGCGGCATCGATCGGACAGCACTGTTCTGGCGTTTAAGCGAATGCCAGCCATACACATAAACAAAAAAGCAACAGAGCGAGTGCGGAGCCACCCTGTACGGCCGGTTTAACAAGTCCGTATTCCTTGCGCTTGTCCAACGGTTTGTTGGCCATTTGGTTTGCGCTTATTCACTGCTAATCCCTGGTGTATTGGACATTGTTATCCCCTTTTAAGCACATTGACGCCCGAAAGGATTTGCCATGCCCGTCGCTGGTTTCACGCTGCTCGTGGCTCTTTGTTCATTCACTTGGTCAACAGTGTCGGAGCCGGACCGCACAGCTTCGACTGTGAAAGTGAATGATGTGCCTAATTTATCGCCCACCCAAACCGTTATGTGTGTGTGTACAGTTGCAATTTGGTCGATGGTCGATGGTTTAGTGAGCGCAGACACTTATACATATATGTGTGTATGGATGCATGTGTGTGCGTGTGTGTTCTCATGCTGTGCGTAGCGGTCCATTGGAATGACTTAAATTATTGGTGCGGATTTTAATTGAGGTTTTTGCCATTTGCATTTATGTGTGTTGTTGGGTTCCATGCCACATCGGCCACAGCGTCGCTGCCACTGAGTGCTGCCCTTAAAACTGCAAATGAAACTAATTTATCCAGCAAACTTTATACGCAACTACAAAAGCTGCGTTATCGTTGTTGCTGCTGTTTTTGCTGTGTCTCCTTCTGCTTTGTGGCATTGCGATTTTTTGTCCGTTTTTACGTTTTGCGTCAGGCAATTCGAGAAATGGAAAATTGAATGCATAATTACAACCGCAAAGTTATTATCATTTTCGCACCATCGCCGCAACTGATGAATTATTTCCTCAAGCCGCACCCCACTGCAGCGCGTTGCACTTTGTGTACCTCTTGCAGCACATTTCTGCGTTAAGCATGACTCGCTCACAGTTGGTTCTCGTAGATATGTTTGTCAATATCGTTCACTATCGCCCTCTTTGCCGCGCTGCTGCTGCACATCGCCTCCCCTGAGTCGTCCTTATTGACTTCCTTATCGTTTTCTGTCGCCTCTTGCGCTTTGCTCACCGCCGGTATCTCTTTCCCGTTATCTGCATCGTTCACCTCTTTTTGTTCCGTTGCTTCTGTCGCCGCGCCTTTCGCCGTGTCCTAAGGATGCTTCGTGTAATTGTTGAGTGGCATTTCGTTGACCATGGTGTGCGTCACCTCCTTGCCCCTGTCGTGTATGCCCTTGTCATGCGTTTCGCCTTTTTTCTTCTGCGTCTTCAACTATATGAAATAATTAATGAAATATATATTGTTTTGGTCAATGATTTACGCAGGGGAATTTTATTTAATAGTTACTCGTCTTATTGTCTCTTCGAAATTCTGATGCGGCTCCACACGCTTCATGGTGCTGCAGGCTTTAAACTTCTCCGCGGACTGGAAAAAATAATGATTGAGAACAGAAGAAAGATATGAAAAAATTTTACCAAATATTGAAATATATATTTATTAAATAAATTAACTTAAGCTGCAGGTATTGTATTCCTCTGGAAACAACTTGCACAAAATTCAAACTCGAGTCAATGGAATCAAGTCTAAGAACAGCAACAGAGACTTCGCTGCATGCTTCTCCCAGCCTTTTCTCTTCTTTCTACTATGTACCTCGGGATTACTCGACAAAACGTAGGCTCTACCAGCTTTCAGCTGTCTCCATCTAACCGATGTACTCCTAGAGTCGTTTCAATGACAAAAATACTCACCAAAAAACCTAAAAATATTAGAGCGCAACTGCGTTAACTCTCCTAAATACACTCTTAAAATACTTTTACAGATATTGATCCTGTCAGATAAAGTGATTTTTCATCACAATTTTTGGTTGTTAAGTGGTTAAATCCACTTCCCATATTTATTTGACCATCAATCGTTAATAAGACTGCTTCTGGCCAAAACAAGTGGGTTTGTATGGTTGAGAAGCTTACATAGCTTTAAATCAAGAGGATAGACAACTAGTCTGACAGTCTAAAAACATAGCAGCGTTTAAAGAAAGATTGAATTGTCCTAAAATTTTGACCGTGTATGCCTACCCAAACCAAAACACTGAAAAAGCATTGTATACATGTAGAGAAAATGGGGCAATGCACTGAAAGTGGTCCGAGTGATCACTGCAGCAAATACGAAGAACGCTGTTAAAAAATGTGTTTAAAAATAAACTGACTGTCACTCAAAAACTTTTAGTATGTTATTTTCAAAAGTCTTATCTATGGAAATACGAAAAAAAATCGATTTTTCTAATTTCACACTGGTGTGCCTCTTAAGTCGGTTCCCAACATGACGGAACAGGATTAATATCTGGTCAAGGACCAAGCTGAAATTATTTTAAGTTATTTTGTGGTGTCTTAAAACAACAATAACAAAAAAAATACATTTGAAAATGATACAGACTTTGTTAGGAAAGGAAGAGGACCGGTTTTTTTCAGCCTTGACTGTACTTCGGAGCGTGCGCGCACCGACTGGATTTGGTAGAGGGTGTTCCTAGATAACGAACGAGCACCTGGAGAGTCAGGACAAACATTTTCGCGTGACGCCGAAAATGCAGCGTACGTTAGAGCAGAGGTAAACGATTAAATTCTGTATGAAACTCGGTAAATCTGCGACAGGGATGTTTGCTATAATCAAGCAGGCTTAACCAGATGCAGATTTAGCAAAAAGTGGCGTGTGTCGGTGGCACCCGGCTTTTTTGGAGGGTCGGGAAGAGGTCGCTTTGAAAGGCCGTGCTGGAAGATTGTTCGACAAACACCGACAATGTAACTCGTGTGCTTAAAGATTTGTACTCAGACCATCGACTAATTCATCAAAATTTGTAGTTCGTGGCATTGTGACGGAGCACTTAAACATATGCAATGTGTAAGCGAAGGTTGTCTCAAAAATGCTCATTGATGACATGACAATGCTGACAAAACAGATTTTTTGGCAAAATGGATTGACTATTAACGAGTTATGACTGTTATATGAAAATGTTAGCGTCCAAATCTAGCGATGCTGTGAACCAACTTAACAAATTTTCATTATGCACCACCACATTGCCGCTTATAATTACTACTCAAATGAAGTATTTTAACGCCAACTACTTTAAAGCCATTTACCACCAACAATAACACAAAAGAAAACTTAATAACCAAGTAATGAGATGAACTTTGTGTGCGCTCACTCGCCACTGCCACTGGCAGGAAAGGAAGGAAAATCGACCGGACAAAAGATTAGCGCGAAGCGCGATAAAAATAATAATCCAAGCGACACCTGAAACAAAAACGCTTAACACAAGCAAACAACAACAGCAACATAACCACTTCACGGCTCTCGACAGTTTGCTCGCCCGCTTAGTGACTTGTCCAGCGAGATGCCGACGCTGAAGCGCCACAAACGCCAGCTAAAATCCACCTTTCAAATAGCGATTGAAAAAAGTGGTAGAATAGAAGAAGCTACCAACTAGTTAGTAAAAGGCGTGGGCGAAAACATGAGCCAAAGTAACATTTCCGCAGCAGACCACGTAATGAGCGAAACTCCACGGCATTTAAACACAACTTTTAAGCAACACCAACAACTCTTACTCACTCACTTCACTTCATTGACTCATCCACTCTCTCTTTCTCTCTTTCTCTAGAGAACTCGCAAGTCTTTTCAGCTAAAACTTTTTTTTTAATATAGTAAAACGCCGAACCCGCACCTGCGTTGCGTTCGTTTTGGCTTCTTGCAACAACAGGATGTCAGCGATGTGACTCCACAATACGACAACGTGAACGGCAATAACAAATATGGTAAAGGCAAATAAAATACAAAAGCAATACTAAATTGTGTAAACTAAAACGAAAGGCGCTGGCAGCGCGACTACATAACTTCCAGGAAACCGAGAAGTAGTCGCTTTTGAAATAAAATTGCTGCCGTGTACCGCCAACAAACGGTAACTGAGAGACGCAGAAAAGCGCTACGACTGCTCGGAACAGCCTCATCTCTCAATGCTTGACATCCAAGTCCGAGTCCAGAGTCGATTGCCCGAAGTCAAAGCGTATTTTCCGGCACCTCAATGCGCAGTTGAGGTAATTCACAAAAATTGACCACAAAAACAAAAAGGCGCATGCAAAACAAGCAAAAAAAAAATATTAAATAAAAATTTAGTATAAACCGCAAAGGACGGAAGAATACAAAACATCAGCGGACGACCACAAAGGCGCAAAAAAAGTACACAATTCACTTGCTGTGGGACCGAACGGGAAGTTATACAATTTTTTGTAGAATAGGGTGTGTATGTGTGTGTGTGTGCGTACTTTCGGGAGGACATTGTGTCAAGCACAAATAAACACGTCCGCTGTGAAAAAGACAACAAGCAGCGCAACATTAGTAGTCGCCAGAGCCCAACAACAAGAGTTCATAAAAAACAGAAAACGAAACCGCAACAAAAAAGCAAAATTCGTTTAAATATTAAATGAACAACTGGAAATGATTTAAAATATAAAAAAGAAGTGAATGGCTAACAAAAGCTCTTCAGAGATTAAGAAGTCAAAAATGATTGAAGCAGTGAACTTTCTGACTGAACCCCTTTTCGATGCGCTTAGAAGTGAAAGGAATATTTTCACATTTTTTTTTTTTTATTGTAAAGGGTCATCCATTTCGAGGTACTCTACTTTTTTAAAGAAAAAAATAGAAACTTCAAGTTTCATGGGGAGTGTTTATTATCATTCGAAAGAACATATTTTAAAGATTATCTCTTTCAAATGGTGACCGCGGTTATGTCTCAGATGATCCATCCGTTGAGTCCAATTTTCGGTGACTCGTTCGAGCAATTCGACTGGCAATTGGCGAACGACACGCGTGATGTTTTGCTGAATCGAAGCGCGATTGACCGGTTGAAATTTACACTTCACATATTTCCACAGGAAAATGTCTAACGGTCTGATATTGCACGAACTTGGTGGCCAATCCAATGGCCCAATGAGTCTCAAGATGGGTGATGGTGACCATAAGTTGAACGAAGCGCATAAAACACACTCTTCACAGAACATAAATTTTCGTAATAAAGTTGAACGATTTGTAAACGTTGTTCAGGCATAAGTCTTTCATGATGAAATGCCAAACAGTACTGAACAAAAGCAACATAATAGCCTGACACGACTCACGCGTGATCTGTCAAAAAACGAGATGTTGAAAAAAATACCTCCACTTGGATGACCCGTTATTTGCAAGAGTTTTATAGTACTAATATTCTCTGAACACTTGGGCAAAAATTATTTTTGAGACAAGGTAGGTAAGAAGAACGGAATTTGATGGCAAAACATTGCCTACATTTGGGGGGAATTTTCAAAACGTGGCCTACATTCAGGTTCATTTGAAATTTAAAAATTCTCAAGCAAGATCCTTGTCAAAAATATCTAATTTCAAATGGTGTTATACATATCAGATTCGAACACAACTTCATATTGGATGTATATTTTATTATTTTCACCAACAATATATATATTCCTTAAATAATATCAGCATATAATTGTCAGCTGAAAATATTCAATAAATTTTTGATTTCAAGACTATAATTTAACTATACCTCGGACTAACTTAATACAATTTCCCACTACCCAATCACCATCCTTAACTTAAAAGGGTGGCAACGAATGGTTGAACATGAATTACAAAGCACAATATTGAAGCAACACCGAGGTGTGTGTAAAAAGATACGAGTTGGAGGTGTTAAGGGAAAAGAAAAAAGGAAAAGCAAATAGGTACACATATTTGTTGTAAAAACAAATACAGGAAATTTCGGTCAAAAAACTTAGGGCGGACGCGCAGCCGAACACAATGGGGAAAGCTATAAAAGGCAACCACACCGAAAAAAGAGTAACCGCATAAATGTGCACGAGACCGCAATGACAACAGCGCGACGTAAAGGTGCAAATGAACAAAATCCTCCACAAGCCCACACGGCGATCCAATTTGTGCCCCGACAATTCGAATATGGTTAGGACGAAAATGAAAATACCGGAAAAAGCAACCTTGGAATGTGGCATATGTAAAAAGCAACGCAAATGAAAAAACAACAAAGTAAACAACAAAGCGAAAAAACAAGGGAACTACATTAAGCTGTCTACTCTCCCACTAAACAAAAGTACATGATATTTGTGTCTAGCTTTACATACTTATGTACATAGTATATATGCTTCATCACCCTCTCTTACTTTGCTCAAGGCGCTCAAAACACATCCGCAACTTGAGCAACTAGAAAATAGTTGTTTCCCTCGTTTACCTGAAATTGTTGCAATTTAAAGTTTGAGCAATAAAAGTCATATGAAGTATGTTAGGGGGAGCTCAGCACTCACGGACACACACACACCCACACACACACTTAAGGAAGCTATCATCAACTAGATTAGAGTAACAATTGCTGTTGTTGTTCGCACGCAAACTTTGAAGAAGTGGCAATTACTTTTAATTGCCACGGAGCTACTTAACGTGTTTACTGCAAAAGGGTTTGGCGAATTATCAAGAAAATTGTAACAATTCAAGTGAAGTGCAAATTAGGAGTATTATACTATTTATGAATGGCAAATTACGTCCTAACAATAGTGCATTCAGAATTGTGTTTTTAGAAAAACTGGCATATCTGTATTTCAATCTGCAAAGCCGATGAGCTGGTAAGAAAAGGCACCCATAACCAAATTTCATGAGGATGGGAACGAGCAGTAGCTTTGTGGGTATTCGCGTGAGCTCAGCAAGTGTTAGTCCACAACCTCCACTTGTAGGGTTTCAAAAACCTTCTAATCCTCCTAGAAAGGCTCACATAACCACGAGAATAGGCGTACTAACGAGACATTGTCCCATTGGCACGCATGCGGTGAAGCCGACTTGACTTGACTTGACTTGAATTTTTACGAGCCCGCGCAGTCGGCTTAAAGAGAAAGTAGCCGTCTTTGTGGCAACTTATAGACGTACTGTATGTATGCAAGTGTCTTTTTTATCCATACATAGGTTTATGGATATCATAATGGATAAGCGTTTATAGCAATGCAAGTGGATTTATTCGTGAGCTCCACAGTAAGCAAATTACCATACCTAACCCACCATATACTGAGCCCAAGGTTACATTGTATTTATTTTGAAAATTCTTTATTTATTCTTCCAAATCAATTTCATCCCCTTCAAAGTAATCCTCTCCCGATGCAATGCATTTATGCCAACGGATTTTCCCACCTTCGAAACACTGGTTGTAGGCCTTCCCGTTCCATCTTCGCTGCGACTTGAATCTCCCCTATCGTTGTTTTCGGAGCGATCTTTTGAGCTTGGTGATCAGCCAGAAGTCGCACGGCGTCAGATCAGGTGAACACGGTGGTTGCGGAACGATATGGGTTGAGTTTTTGGCGAAATGATCACGAATTACGAAGGCAGTATGGGATGGTGCATTATCGTGGTGTAAAAGCCAAGAATTGTCTTTCCACAATTCCGGCCGTTTTAGGCGGATAGCGTTACGCAGACGACGCATAACGTTCAAATAATATTCCTTGTCGACTGTTTGATCGGTTGGAAGGAATTCATAATGCACAACACCACGATAATCGAAGAAAACAGTCAAGATGACCTTGACTGTTGAGCGACTTTGGCGCGATTTTTTTGGTCTCAGCTCTCTTTTGGCACGATATTCGCTCGACTAATCGATTGTTTCGTAATTGTAACACCCTGCTAGTCGGAAAGCATCGTTTCACACACTTCAACGCGACATCCTTCAAAAAGGTATTGGCTGAGCCTTTCGATATGCCAACTTCATCAGCAAGGTCTCAACAACACCAAATCTTTGATTTGTTGAACGTGAGCTTCGTCGGTTGAGGTTGATGGTCGCCTTGGACGCGCTTCGTTTTCGACACGTTCACGGCCGGCTTGGAACTCTCTATACCACTTGTAAAAATTTTTTTAGACATAGCCTCATCATCAAAGGCTTTCTGCACCATCCTCAACGTATCCGCAGCAGAAAATTGATTCGAACACAAAATTTAATGCAAATTCTTTGCTCAACAAATTTTGACATCGCAGAAAACGAAAAACTCACTTTTAGCAGCTCACAAAACGACACGTATCTCAAACACTAATGAATGGTTTGATATGAAATTTGACATAAATGTGACTGACAGTACTACCAATCTAAGAAAAAATAATAATTCTCCAAATCCTTCGACACGCGCAGTTTAAATTCAAATGTCACCTTATATTTTGAAAATTTCCAATAAAATTAAACGTTCTCGAGTTGTTTTGTTAAGCAATGTGGCAACAAGAAATAAAAGATCATGTGATATCAAACCGCTAGACTTTTTCCTCTGAGGATATGTAAAGTCTAAAGTCTATACAGACAATGCCGCTTCGCTTCACGCCACAAGCCATCACGCGTATCATTCGCCAGTAACCAACCGAAACGCTCGAAAGAGTAATCGAAAATTGGACTCAAGGAATGGACCATCTGAGACTTAAAGCTGACCAGCACTAAGCAGAAGTAATCCTCAAAAAAAATAAAATAACTAAAAAAATGTTCTTTCGAATGATAATAAACATTCTCCAATAAAGTTTTTTTTTTTTTTTTTTTTTTTTTTTTTTTTTTTTTTTTTTTTTTTTTTTTTTTTTTTTTTTTTTTTTTTTTTTGAGCACGCTACCCCGAAATGGATCAGCCTTTATTTACCAAACTTAATGCGCCTACATACTTATATCTTTGACTTACCTTCAATTGCATTTCTTCGTTCGGGTTATTTTCTTCGGCTCCTTTGTTCAGACCGCTGAGGAAACGCGCAAATACCGTACGTCTTTTATTCCGACTACGACCCTCTGGTTAGAAGAGAAATGTAAAAAATATTAAAAGTAATAATTTATGTTGAAATAACTCAGTTTTTTTTTCTTTAAAAAAAAAATATAGAAATATCTCCAAAAATATTAGTATTAAAATCTTCTAAGAGCATGTAAAAATTACATTTTCAAAATTTCTTGTTCTTAAATTCCTCACACACGCCCATTCAAATGAATACTCACATTGTTATTTCCATGTTGCACCTACCTGTTGCCGAGAAATCGTAGAAGAAATTCCGCCTGGCGCCCGGATAGCTGTGCTGCATGCCATTCAGGTTAACCGCCGATTTCGAATCAATTGCACTTCTGGCCATGCGATTTGCCAAATCGTTTTGCGCAAAGCTGTAGATTTCATTCTCCTCACGATTGGAAAGGCAACTAGATGGCTGCAAATGGCCATAAAACAACCAGAAAAAAGTGTTAGTCAAAAAAAAACTCCAAAAAAACAGGTGCAACAAAAACCACCGAAAATAAATCAACAACATCATTTGATAAAGTGCATGCAATAAAAATGTGAGGAAAAAAGTAAATTTGAGCTACACTCGGTATTGGGCACGGATATACACGGCGTATACGTACCAAATATTTTCCAGGCACATACAATGGTTGGCTGTGACTTGTCGGCAGAGTTGATTGATTTGCGATATTGCCGCCAATAATGCCGAATCCACCGCCGCCGCCGCCGCCGCCGCCCATCATCCCCGACATGACGCTGACACCGATGCCACCGCTGCTGCTGCTGCCGCCCGCGCGCCGCGACAAAGTGTGGCCGGTCGAAATGCGCACATGGCGCTCCTTCCACTTGGAAACGCGCACCTCCTCGATGGCGTCCAACACGTCCTCGTACGGCATATTAATCTGTTTGCTATAGTGCGCGGCAAGGCCCTCCAAATAGCCGCGTTTGCCCTCCTGCAACAAGAAACACACAAGAAGCAGAGCAAATCGAATGTGAGTGCGAAAAAGTCTGGCAAAAGCTCGTCAACTGTATCAGAGTAACAGTAACTTGAAAGGCAATCAGCGTAGGCGAACAGTAATAAAAAGCGTTGCGCTGCAACTCTTTACAAGCGCGTAAATTTCAAACGAAGCATCATGTGAAAGGCGCCCAGCGGGGGTTAATGGAGGCGAAATTTGCTAAAGTGCTCTCAAATGCATCAGCAGAATCGCTTCTTAATTCATAGACATACATACTGATATAAATATCAAATCATTTTAAGTCACCGCCTGCCTTTAGCTAGCAAGAAAAGTTCATATCTCCTGGTGATTAGTAAGGAGCTGCCACTTCGCCGCAGACAAATGTGATAAACACACTCTGGCGCTACTACTTTTGTACAAATATGTACAGAATGCTGTATTTATAACATGAAATATTTAAATTTGTAATTATGGAAATGCTAAGTTGCGATGAGTGCCGCTGATGAGTCAACGTCATCGTCGTCAGCAGCAAACTAAATACTTGCAGCGTTTGAGCCGCTTGTGAGGCATTGCACTTGCTTCAAGTGTGTTGTTTTGTCTCAACATCACACCCACACCCACACATATATGCGAATACAGCTCTCAGACACACTATTGTAGACACCCTAGCACTTGACATTGAACTGCCATAATGCCACGCCGCCATTTCATTCTATGCACCGAGCGTTGCCATATTTCAAATACGAGCGTGTGACGCAAATCGCGCTGCTATTCGGGTTGGGACTCATATGCGCCACGCCGCCGACAATTGGCTGTCTTACACCTGCATATGAGTTAGAGTGTTGTTCTTGTACCTTTGTGAGTTTCTTCAAGTGCAATTAGTTGAGACGCGCTCGAGTAATGTGGCAACAAAATTCATAAGCCGCCAGACAAATTGTCTGAAGCACAATGTATACATGAGTAGTGATTTAATATCTGTGCACAAACACGAACTTATACATTTACTACTATGCAAAAAAAAATAGTAAGACTTTGTTTATGATTTTAAAATTCTTAATTTATTCTTAAAAATTTGTTATTATGCCAACGAATACGGTTCCTACGGCACGATATTGATGGAAAATTTGGTCGCGCAAAGGACGCATAACACTCAAATAGTATTCCTTATTGGCAGTTTGGCTGGCCGGAAAGAGTTCATAGCGCACAATACCTCGTTAATCGAAGAAAACTTTCAACCTAACCTTATCTCTTGACCTCCTTGGACGTGTTTTTTTCGGCTTCGGTTTTATGACATTTCTGACTGTTACTAATCGATTCTCAAGCACCACCTCCTTTTTTTTTTTTTTTTGACATGCTGATCATCGGTGGGTGCTGCTTTGTGGAGTAATTTAACTTATCGTAAAAATCGCCGAATGTACATTATGTACTTCAGAAATAGCCAAAGCGTATATTAAGCACTAAAAAATTATTTTGCTGTGACATTTGGCTCATATGTCACTGACTTGCATACAAACTAGGAAAAAATATTTCGTCGAATAGGGTTTCGCGCAGCGAATTTAAATTAAAAATTCTTACACTTGTCATACTCCGAAAATAAAGTTCATGACCAGTCGTTGCCCTCGGTCTGCTGTCTCGTCTACAGATATCCAAATATTGCGTAGTCGAAAAAGTCTTTTCATATTTCTAATCACATCTCAATTTATTTCATCAGTGTAAAACTTTTCTGCTTTCTCGCGGAAAAACTGCGACAAGTAATTTTCACTTCATTAAGGGTGTTCTGCATTAACCCAAACATATGGTAGTCCGATGGGGCAAGGTCAGGCCAATATCTCAGTTTTTGCCAAGTCATCAAAGATGTGTGTGGTCCAGCGTTGTCCTGATGGAAGACGAAGCCCTTTCTGTTGATCAGTTCTGGCCGATTTTTTTCGATGGCTTGTTTCCATCTCATCAGCTGTTGACTGGAAAAGGTAGAATAAATCGTTCGACTAGGCTGTAGCAGCTCATAGTAGATGATAACTTTCCAATCCCACCAAACACTAAGCATAGCCTTTGGAGGCGTCAATCCTGGCTTTGCGATAATTTGTTTTTAGCTTCGCCAAGCTTAGACCATGACCTTTTTCTCACAATATTGCCATATTTGATCCACTTTTCGTCTCAGTTTACCATTCGCTTCAGAAATGCTTCGATTTCATTTCGTCTCAGCACAGAATCGCAGTTGTTAATTCGGTCCATTAAATTGTTTGTAGACAATTCATGTGCACAGAGCTTTTTTATGTAGTAGGCCATTTTTAAATTGTTCAAAACCATGATGATGATGAGTGTTATGTTCCTTAGCGATGTGATGGCTGCTTATGTGACAGTCCTGGTCACTCTTCTCCATAATTTCATCGACTTTTTCAACGATAGTTCGACCAGAGCTAGGTGCATCTTTCACATCGGAATCGTATGGCACAATGTGATTGGTAGCACTGAAGACATACGACTTCAAGGACATCTGTTGACAAAATGCGGAAAGACTTTTTCGACTACCCAATATATTAAAATCTCCATAAATTATTAATAAAATGGCTAAGCAACCATAAGGCAAGTCGGTAAAGTGTATACCAATCTCAACAATCAAGATTTTATGTGACCTCTTCTAGCCGAAATGTGAAATCGTACGAAATCGGTCAAGAATGATGCCCATGTTAACATACTTTCCAAGACAAGTGACGCTATGACTATCAAATCGTGTCACATAGTGTCTCATGTCGCAGCATTCATAAAACTGTATGCAGTTATGATGCGTGTAGATGAGATTGTGGAAGTTATGTAAATAGTCATTCAAGCACAAAGCACTTGATACAAGTGAAATAGAGAACTATTTACACATATGCACCCAGATATAGTGAAAGAACATTGCAACTAATATGCATGGCAAATATCTGTGTCAATGTATCAGGGGCAAACACCTGACGTATTCTTCAAAGCAACGCACCCCTACGACATTCCAACTTCGTGACCCAGTCAACTTTAAAGAGTTTTTAGACCGCTGTAAGTCAGCGATTTCAATCGTACTACAACAGTTATTCATCACCAACAATATGTGCGGCCCTCTCCTGCAGCGCTGCTGTCACATTGAAGTCGTGTAAGTAAAGTCATCAAAAACGCATTTTCCCTTCCGAAAGTTTACAGCCCTCTCCCTTACGCGCATAAACAGCTACAATCGTATTTGTTTGTATTTGTTCACATGCGCAACCTACAAGACATACACGCTGTCAATACGTCACTGCAGCTCCGGCTCCTGCTCCTGCTGTACAGGCTGCCACTGAAGCCGCAGCTGTTGAAAGCGTAATTGAGACGTGTTGCCATATTCTGTGATGTGGATGCATTTTGTACACAACAACGCCGCTTTACGCCACATGCAGCAGCTAGCTACTTTCTTGCGTGCCACATTATACTTGGCGCGTTGCAGTCGCTATCTTCGTAAAGTTCTACAAAGGGCGCAAAGGGCGACGAGCGCAGATATAATAAGATAACCACGCACGTTCGACATCTTGGAAAATTATTATTCTTGCTGCGACGATTTGACGAGCAGCAGCGCGCGCATGCAGCGGGAGCGTACGGATAATGGCGTCGCAATGTGTTTGCGGGTAAAGCATCTGCCGTTGACGCGCCAGTGCAAACCCACAGGAGCTGCAGCGCGCCTACCTTCACCATGACACTGAGTACGCGAGAGGCTAGGTGACTATGAGTAACTGTAATTAGCAGCTTGGCGCTCAAGCGGATGCGTATATTTATATCCTCTTCTAAATATATATGTACACATTTATACATATGTACTTATTTGCAAACTTACCGACGGCATAAAGTTTTCGAAATCTCTTCCTTACTTAGACACCGCTTGCAGCGGCGCTTGTTGGATTTACCAATTGATAGTCGCGCTGTTTGTGCCACTTAACGCAAATCCTTTGCGTTGTTTCTTTTTGTTAGTGTATTTACTATTAATGGAACTTGAGACATTATTGTTTGCATGTGCGGAGGTTACTCGGTATAAACGCTACGAGAAGAACGCTGATAAGGCACGTTTCGATTATGCTTAGCGCCTTCACAGTTCTCACGGGTTATTGTTGGGTGCAACTAATAAAAAACACTTTAACTCCTGCATTCAACATTAGTCACACTTTAAGAGGCTTTCGGATGGCTTTATTGCATAAAGAACACCGTGGCTTTAAAGACCGTTGGTTCCTTATGACAATATATAATCCGGTACGTTCGAAGAGCTAAGCATTGTAGGCTTTGACAAGTCAGCGTTGGATGGAAAAATATGTCCCAAAGTGTAGTGGGCTTGGGACACGCCACATAAAAAAATACTCTCAATGAGAAGGATACCACAGCCTCAGAGGGGGACCCCCCTTTTGATGACGACCATGGCAAATGCACTAAAGATTTCGATCTAATGGCATATACCTGGAATGACCGGTCCTCTAATTGGGAAGGTGCCTCTGCACAGCTGGTTGATTGAAAAGAGTAACATCGCCGCCAACCAAGAAATGTGATGGACGGGACAAGGACTGTGGCGTGTATATCCTTGTGGCATTTACTATAGCGGCCATATAAAGGATCGCAAATTTGGTGTAGGTTTCGTGGTGGGAGATAGTCTCCGTCGCCGGGTACTGTCATTCACTCCGGTGGATGAACGTCTGACCACAATCTGCATCAAAGTGAACTCTTCAACACATCGCTGATTTGCGCCCACGCCTCGATGGAAGAAAAGGAAGATATGACCACAGATACCTTCTATGAGCGCTTAGAGTGCACCAAAAATAGCTGCCGAAGCCAGGATGTCAAAATCGTGCTTGGCGACTTTAACTCCAGAGTGGGCAAAGATGCTATCTTTGGCTCAAAGATCGATAAATTCTGCCTCCATGATGAAACATCCACAAATGGGTTAAGGCTGATCGACTTCGCCGAGGCCCGAAATATGGTTATTTGTAGTACTAGATACCAGCATAGGAAAATTCATCAAGCTAGCTGATTATCGGATCGAAAAACCACCAACTTGTTCCACGATGTTCTGATAAACGGGAGACACGTCTCCAGTATCTTAGACGTGCGTACACTCTGAGGTCTTAACATCGACTCGGACCACTCTCTTGTTACAGCAAAGATACGCACCCGCTTCTATGTATCAAAATCGCACATCAACAAACACAAGGTAGCATTGATCGAGAAACTGCAATTACAATAGACAGCCGAATAATTTTCTACTTGACTCGCACTCCTGCTCTCTGAGAGCGATAGTCAGCTCGTCCCCAATAAAGAAGAAGAGAAAAAGCAATTAAAATTATAATTGGGAAACTTGTTATACTTGCGCGTGTTATTCATTTGATATTATGTCTAATAATTAAAATTCCTAAGCTAATTGCTCTTTTATCAAAGCACACAACCAAATGTACAGTCAAGACAACAACCGTCAGGGTTAAAAACAGCTTTCAAATATTTGTCCCAATTTCTTTGATACTGCTCAAAACATGTCACAAAAGACTAAAGGCAAGTGTCTTACTACCGCAAAGCGACTGCCTAAAATCATTCCTGTAAGATACTTACCGGCGTCGAATAGGGATGCGCTGTCAGCCGAATGCCATCGGCCTCCAAATGACGCTTCATAATGGCCTCCAGCTCCTTCATAGTCGTCGGCGCATCACAATCGGTTGCCAAAATCTCATTGCTACTGCTCAACGCCTTCGGATCGTTGATCATCACATACACAATGGCGGCGCCCTTCTCGCGCAACGAGCGCACACTCTTCAGCAGTTTGTTGCGATGTTGCACCGTATCCACACCGATTGCGTCCAAATCAATATCGCCAATTTGTTTGCAAATCTCCAGTTCATCGTAACCGTTCTCCATGAAACTCTCGGCATACTGTTGCATGCCAATGGCGCGCAACCACTCGCAGACGATGTTGTTGTGTGGCATATTGGCGTTTTCGTATCACGTGGCCGTTAGCGTGCAGCTGCTGCTAGTAGCGGACGTATTCGGTGGCGGGAAGGTGATGTCGAGCGGTGCAAAACTTACCTTCGGCGTTTTGATTGCAGGTTTCGTTTTAGTCGATTTCGTTGTTGTAGTTGTGGATGTTGAAGCGCCCGATACCAATGCCGATGCAGTCGGTGCGGTGGGTGTGCTGAGTTGCAAGCACGCGGCCGAAGTGTTGCCGCTGCTACTGCTGACGTTGTACGAGGTGGCTGTTGAAGTGGAGCTAGCGCTGGACGCAACAGAGTGGCTGTAACTGAGATTAGTTGTTGCCTTCATAGCATCTGTGTTCGTGCGGTGTTGGCGGGTGGGGCAGGCAGAGACGATTGCTATTGCAGAGCGGGCATACAAAACTGAAAGAGGAGAGTATGATTTATTGATATAATATAATATATATATAGCAATAATTTTGTATATATTTTTTTTTTTGATTTCTTAAATAATAATATATATGTACAAGGCTTACGAATTTGTTTTAAACACACCTTTTCCAAAATTTCTTTATTAAAATCGTGGAATGCCGTTAATTTGTCCATATTAAGACCCTCCAAATTAAGTTATACAATTTAACCTCTTCTCTCTGCAAGGTTTTCAAATATTTCTCCCGAACGGAGAGTGATTCCTTTTATGTTATTTCTTACCTACTTCTTATATAATATTGATTTATTTTTATTTTTATGATTCTTGGTTTGCTAAATTTAAAACGTCCGTTTTGCATGTCTATCAAAGTCTAAATGGGTCGAGTAATTCTCTGTCTTTCGGAAATTTCCTTCAGGCTTGTGTCGTCTATATAAACGACAGCTTTCTGTGAATTTCACGTAAAATAATATTACATTTTTCACTGCTCCCTCTTTCATTACAAAATGGTTTTTATTGTTGTTGCAATTCTTTCAACGTCAATTACAATTAAATGGACACGTCCAAACCGAATGCTAATGAATAGTTGGCAAATTTGGAGAAAACTTTCTTAATTTCCTTCCATGAAATGTTTGCTTGTGGCAAAGGCCAACACACGCATATTGGATATGGAAATGTGAATCTGCTAACGCAAGAAGGTAAAAGTGTTTTGACATTGGTCAATTTGAATAACTGACACACCTAAATATATTATAATAAATACAAGGAAGGGTGGTTCTTAAATATGGAAGTAAAACGTTTAACATCGGGGTTGTCTGAACTTAACTCTTACGTAAGTTTACCATAAAAATATAGGACTATTTAGGTTACGTTAGGTTAGGTTAGGTTACACTGGTACGCTCTCACACCATACATAGACCTACTGGTCCTTAGTAATGCGAGATGGAAGTTCAGCTTAATTTGAGGTGAAGTATTTCTCATACAACTTGTCAAAGATTTTCACGAACTTTAAGAGAAACTTGATATTTAAGTTTGATACTTCGTCTAGTTCCTTGAACTGCGAAGCTGCGAAGATATCAACGACGAATTCTAAATAATGCTGCAGGTATAGGAGGTGTTCTAGCGTCTTCCTCGAACCTACTGCTCCGCACTTTCTGCTTGCATTGTTGTTACTTATGCTAGTATGTTGTGACTGAATGATTAAAAACCCTCCCGCAGTCATCTCGATACCAAGTGAGTGTTCCTACGCAGCTCTTGTTTACGATCTTGGCGATCTTACATTTGCTTAAAGCATTCCACCAAGCCTGATCAGCCTTTTCGGAAATTTCATTGTCTACCGTTTTCAGTGACTTCGATATTTCTTGTAGCTAGACGGACGGTAATCTCATAAGCTCTTTCGTTTCCCGAATTTGTGGCCTATAACTCAGTAAACATATATACAGCCGCCTTCCAGTAGCAGTTACATTTACTGCCTTCCTGCTTCTAAAAACTTGCTCTGACGTTATGCGATGTGAGATTATTGATTCAACTGCTTTTCGCAAAGACCTGGAAGATACTGCCGTATTCCAACAGCTAGGAGTGTCGCCTCAAATTGAGCTTCCAGTATTCCAGTACAGTACTTATAACATCTATAGTATATGTTTTAAGCCATCAAGGATGACTAAGGGATCTCTACAGTCGACGTATTATGGATCCCGATTATGGAGTGTAATCATTTGTCTCCGAGTGATCCCAGTAACAAATTCGAAAATTGTCATTTCGATAAAACTGATGGACATTTGGAACGATTTGGTGCTTTTTATCTTAGATCTTAAAACACGACCTTCCCAAGCGACATTGTTCGCTCTATGAGCTCTTGAAAAGTTCCAAGAAGATCTGCCTTTAAAATTTTATATTAAACTAATAGGCCCATTTCCGGTATGTAAACAAGCAAAATTGCCGCATTTTGGACGAAGAGCAACCTAAAGAGATTCAAGAGCTGCCATTTCATCCACAAAAAACAACGGTTTGGTGTGTTTTGTGGAATCTTCAGTCCATATTACTTCCAAAATGATGTCGGTGATTAAGTAACCGTCAATGGCGACCGTTAATGTGCCATGATAACCGACTAATTGATGTCTGAAATTGCAGCTCGAGATCTCGTCGACATTTGCTTTTAACAAGACGACGTCAGACTGACGCTTCTCACACATCGCATCAATGTCCGCTTCGATTCAGGCCTTGAAGCAAAAGATCACGCGTGTCACTCGCTAGTTACCAGGCGAAGTGCTGGAACGAGTCATCAAAAATTGAACTCAACGGATAGACGTAGCCGCGGCCAAGATTTAAAAGAGATAATCTTCAAAAAATAAACACCAAAGAATGTTCCTTCGAATGATGATAAAAATTCCCCAATAAAAGTTTTTGTCTTTTTTCATTAAAGAGGTAGAGAACCTCAATCACCCTTTATATTTTGTGTGCAATATAGTCGCAGCTGTTACTGTCCTCGTCAAATTCAAAACATAAAGGCCCGAAAAACCTTTCAGAGAACCAATTAGATGCTATATAAAATATATACACGTTTACGTATGTATATTTTTTGAACCTTCCTGAGCATATAATAACTAAAAATAAATTAGCATATTTATTACAGACAACTTTTAAGGAATGCAAAGCTCACTGAAATCTTGTTTTAATCTTTAAGGATCTCCCTATGGTAAAAAGATTCACACAGCACCAATTTAGAGAGAAAATACAAACACGTCTTCGTGCGATTTTATAAACTCACTGCAATTGCAGGGAGCCACACACCACTACAAAGTCACACACACACACACTGGCACATGCGTTTATGAGTAATTTAAGAGTGCATTGTCTTGTTTAATTTAAATGCAAATTGTTTTTTGTTTTCTGTTTGGAATATCCGACAAGTGGTTACACTATATCAATATTCAACAGCAATTACAAAGCTGTTACTTATCCTTTTCGATATAATCTCCGCCTTAATAAAATACTTCATCGTTTCTATTGCTTTTGTGGAAAATGGATAAATAAATGCTTTGAAATTGCTGAAAAGTGTTTGACACATCTTCTTTCGTGTGAATTAAAAGCAAAATCCTTGTAGACAGCAGCAAATTCCAGGCTTACCACACACTGACACACACGCCTTACTTGTTTGCCAAGTAACGGTCAGGAAATGAAGTGCAGGAAAGTAATACAATTAAGTCAAATTTTTAGATATTTTGTCAAAACATGACCAGAAAGAGAAGGACTGACATAGCCGTAGTATGAGCTGAGGGAAATTTATGCAGTGTATGAGCATGGTTTTCTATATTCGAAACGAAGTGACTATGCAGACTTACTGCTAAAAATTTTTTAACAGAGATATACACATGATTAATTATGAATTATTGCGTTACTCATACGCCCCGCCCTTCCTATTACAAAGAAAAAAAGTTATTTCTAACTTCAAATTCTCTAAACTGGTTTTTCCCCTTAGTCGAATACCCGCCTCCCTCCATATTAGTCCGATTTCCGAAAGTGATGCTCAGTACCATGCTTTAATACTAGCCGGAAGCTAAGCTTATAACTTTGAGTACACGAAGTTTCAACATTTTAATGTCGGTATATTAAATGACTTTAAGATCACTCCACATAAAGTTCTAAAATAAACAATATCAACAAAGACAAAGCGAGCAATTTTATCAAACAAATCAGGCACCGACTTTTCGACTTCTGCGTGGGAATCGAGTACTGTTCAAATAACTCCTATCCCATGGGTGAAAACAAATGGTAATTGGAAGGAGCCAAGTGGGGTCAATACGCCAGGTCGGGTAACAGCTCACAGCTAAATACTTTGATTTTGTCTTGAAGCAATTTAGCTTTGTGTGCAGATAGATTGTCGTGTTTTCTGACCCATTCTGAACGTTTTTCAATCAATGCATCGCTTAAATACATCATTTTTTGTCTGTATCGATTAGTAATAATAGTTTCACCAGGTTTCCGTTTAATTTTGTCAGGTAGCTACAGCTTTAATTATACATTTTTAACGCTTCAAGACCCAAGTATTGTAATTTAGCAACTCACAACTTTATCGTAAAGTTTGACAATTTTGAAGTAATATATTTTCAGAGCGTTTTGACATACGAGCGCTATTTGTATTGTTTACAGTAACTTAAAATGTTCATCTCAGCCAAAAAGTGGAAGTGGCCATTATTTTGTAAAACTTTCGACATGGAAAATGAACTCAGCAACATGCATCGATGAACTTAATTTAATTACTGGCGGTGAAGCTCCATCAGTGTTTATCGATGAGTGGTAATTCAATCGGGGTTGTAGATCACGCCAAGACAAATTTCCTGAAGGTCGTCGAAAATCAGTTTTTCTTTCTAAAACGATTGGTGCTATGCGCAAGACGATTTGGCAATGTGAAAAAATATTAATAATGGATTTATACGAATGAGCCCTAATAGTCCAGTCATTATAGTAAGTTCTCCTCGGAATTCGATATACCCAGCTGTAAAGTTATCTCAAAACCTACATATGGTAGATACGCCATACCATACCATATGTAGGTTTTGAGACAACTTTTAGGGTGTCAATATACAATATTTACAGACTTACAGCTGGGTATCTC